TTCTTTGAATTCTCTTAGAATAGCACTTTTAATTTAAAAAATCCGTTTGAATTATACTGAATCCTAAGATAAATTAAAAAGTGTAGCGTTTGACATAATTGCTTGAATTAGAGAAAAATTAAACAACAATGCTTGGTATGTTTCGGCATGAATCATAAATCATAGAGAGGATGGGATGCTCGCCAGCAAAAAAAATTACAGAAACTTTTAAGTGTGTAATATCTTCAGGTTAGGGAAGCTTGGTTGTTGTCCTTAAATCTTCCTGACCAGTGCAACTTCAGTTCTTTGATATCTGACCAGGTTTGCGGGTGCAATCTTAGACTTGCGGTTTTCAGGGACGGCGAAGACGTTTTTAAAATGGGGGATTTTTCACTTCCATCCATCCACCCCCTTTGGCCACAATAGGTAATCCTATGTCATATCGGACTGAAAAATTGTTGTTGTTTTTTTCTTTAACCTCAAAACCCTTCCGTTGTTACGTTTTTGCTTGCTTTATTCTATTATTAATATTTCATTTCATTTCTATTTTTTGTTTGCGCTTACCCAAGAGATTTATAGGAAATGTAAACAGTAAAAACAGGGGCAACACTGAATCCTGTAATACAGCTTTTATTTATACTCAATATTTCTTCTCATAGATATGATAAATGCTGGATTTTATAAACTGTTAAATCATCACTTGAATTTTCATTTTCTTGTATTACGATATTAATTTGTCTATAAATTTCATCACATGGCTGCTTAGCAGTTACCTTATTCCCGCGCCTTCTCTATTAAGTGCAATTAATTAATCTGTAAATTTATTATTCGTATCTAATGCCTAATGGCATATCTTGTATGATAAATATCGTTTATCTAAAATTCAATTGTTAATAAGCTTATTAAAATGATTGTTACTTGGCTTGCGGGCAAATATAGTTAATTATACAGTGACGTTTTCCCATTTAAAGTTATGTTATTTATTGATCAAATAAACGATTCATTAATTGTTCATTGACTACCGATGCATTGTAAGCGTATACAGATGAGCTTATACATGTCTGAATTGGCATTCCAAGTCCAACAAAAGAGCCTTGATCTCTGTCGTAGTAGATCTGGATCGCTCTTTATCGCACAGCAAAATCACTTTGTCGATCTAAACACGTAAACAAACAGAAATAATTAAGACCCTGTCAAAACTCGAACGCACATCATTGATAGAGCGAATTTTGCATGACTATTATATGCGAAGTCAAAAATTAGCGACGCTGAAACGACACGGCACGGTCAAATTACCTCACCTGGTAGCAATGCTAAATACAAATATAATAATTCGAGGATATATCACCGTCAAGAACCGGTTCACACCACGAAGTTTTCTTATTTTCAAAGTCATCTGAAATGCGCTGTACTCAGTGATATATATCTATTTCAGAAACATATCTGCTCTTGTGTCCCAGCCGGCTATAAGTCACAACTAGTTGCCAGCGAGAAATTCAGAGCAGGGATACTTTCTAAAAATTTCCTAACTAAAAAAATATAAGCCCTTTTTGACAATAAAAGCGTTATATAAGCCTTTTTTCACCTAAAACGTTTGCCAGGAACAAAATTATTTTAAAGAAGGAATTAGGACGGCACATTTGCTTGTGAGATTGTCAACAATGTAGCTCAAAATGCCTTTCCCAGGAATTTTTTTTTACAATATCAGTTATTCAGAAGAACAGACCCCGCTGGCTCCTGCAATCTCCTTTCGGTGATCGCCGCTCGCCGTTCTCCCCGACCAACGTTTTTTTTTGGAAATAGGTGTATATCGCACACAGAAGATGGAGTCGGTGGTACGAGTAGGCATAGGCCTACTCCGGGCCAGAAAGTCGCCTTAAGTCGCCTTAAGACGCCTTAAGACGCTGTCAGTCGCCTTAGGCTGCTTTAAGTATAGAARGAAATAATAATTTAATTTGCATGATAAGGCCAATTGGTATCATTTTCTGTAATTATTTATGTACTTTTTATGAAAAGAGGTCATTTGCAGAATTATTGACTATTTTTGCCCTAAGGGAACTAACTCCCACTCAAAGTGCAGTACATAAATTTGTAAGTTACATACTTTCCACATAATAACTCATGCAGAAATATGCAGAAATTAGATATTTTTCACTCGTATTTCAAGTATATTAAATATATCAGAAGTTATGAGATATCATTGCTGATATATTTTTCAAGTAGCCTTACACTAGTACTTTCTGAAAAAAATATTGGTGATGAGATCCAATAATTTCTGATATATTTTATATACTTGAAATATGAGTGAAAACGATCACAATTTCTGCATATTGCTGTAATTTTCTTTATGTAGTCTCATACATTTAACCAATCACAATCAATAAATTGCATAAATTTGAAAAAAAAATTATTGTGGATAAGTAACTAAATTAGCAAAAGGAATGGTTTGAAGACAAAACTTGTTGACATTTTTGTGTTTCAAGTTGAAACACAAAAAAATAATTATTTGGTCTTTCATCAGTTTGTTGTTTTGTAATTCTTGCATGTAAGCTTATAAAATTGTACAGTATTCACTATCAATGCACATTCAATTTGTTGGTTTATTTTTTGTAATATTCAGGTATTGAAGATTATATGCAGATCAAGGAGACCAAAATAATAATTATGATAATTAGTTTTTAAAACTTTGACATAATCTGGATTTGTGCTGGATTTGTGCTTAGCTACTGAGACTACTGAGTTTAATTAGTTTTCTAGTATTCTTACCGACTCTCCTGTTCGCAGTTTCATTAACCATTCATCTTTTTCTTGTACGTAAATGTTGTAACAGCAAAAGGAAATCCGTTTCTACTATAAAACGATCAACAACCACCGACACGACCGCCATTTTGAATAACTCGTTCGTAGTTTTCCTCGACCACAGGGAACCCAAACCTGATTGACTTTCAGTGTCGGATTATACAAAATCAATAGTTTCATTCACTGATGTTGGATCGATACTAGAGGAAAAAAATCGAASTGGAAAAGATTCTGAAATGTCCTGCTTTTCAAGTAAGACTGCATAGTGCATCTTGCAAAAGACTGTCAAAATCATTTGATTGCTAAATCTGCAAGAATTTGGCTAAATAACATTGTCTTTTGTCAAGAAATGGCAAAATTGTAAGTTAATTTAAGTCTACAAGACAGATTCACCGGACTTTATTTTGTATTTGGTACATTATATGGAAAATCGAAAACTGTGCGATTTTAGTGCGATTTGAGACAAATAGTGCAGGATCGCACATTCGCACTCTGTCAGATATTTGAGCTTATTTGCAGTAGTTTGTACAATTTAATGGTTGAAGTGACTTTATTATTTTTAATTTTGGCTTTGTTGATCTTGATCTGTATTTTTTTGAACAATTTACATAATTTCACTTATAAAGGATATTTCAAAACCAAAAGGTAGATGACTCAAATGTTCTTTGTCTACTAACTATTTTGTTTTTCTAAATCTAAAAGAGACCAGACTCTAAAGAAACTTAAAGATTCACCATATATGTCTTTGCAATAAGTAAATAGCATTTTCAAATACTGCACTTATAAGAGCACTGACTTCATGCAGTAAAGAGTATATAGTTAACAATCATAGAAAATTTCGTTTGACTGCTTGTATTTGTAAGTCAAATTCCACATAAAAAGACACTAATACACATCCAAATAGATCTTAATTGTAACCATTGGCTGATGCCCTAAGTCACCAAGGGACCCCATCAAATTATCATCCAAATTTCCTTAAGTCGCCTTAAGACGCCTTAAGCTGCCACAGTGCCCCGCCCAATCTACCCTCATTTTTTCTTAAGTCGCCTTAAGACGCCTTAAGTTGCGGCGACTTAAGGCGACTTTCTGGCCCGGAGTAGGCCTAGGCATCACTCGATCAGGTGGCGAAATAGACCAGAAATAGACCAGAAATCACATTACAGCGTATGGCTCTTGGAATAATTGTTGTTGAATTTGTGCGGCCAGGAAACTGAAAATCACGACACAGGACAATAACGCTATTCACAGAAGATATTGGCCTTTGAATTATGTCTCTTTGGTTATAGGCATTGGTAAATGGTTGAAGTATAGTCGTACGTACCTGTTCATATTGTGTGAGCTCTTCGCAGCAACTGAGGAATATCCTCAGAAGACGTTGAAACTGTATGATATCAGTCTTAGCATAATGACCATCCTCGTAGATTCTGAGCATGTTCGCTCGTGAAAAATCAACCAGGACTGCTTTTACAAGCACGACCTGAAAAAATGAATGCAATCTTTGTAGATTATTTTTTGGCATTTGCATCGAGTGCTGTGAGCCTCTTGAAGTTTTTAAAGCATTTTTATCAAGCTAAAACTTTTTACCTGACGGCGTTTAAACGTGGTAGAAATAGTTTTTTTGTTATCTGCTATGGGTTAACCGTGAATGGTCTATTTATCATATTAGTTTCCAATTCACTAGGTTTTCTTTGTTATTCATAGGGTTGTATACAGTACTTACCCGCTTATAAGAACCCATTTTTCAAATTTAGCCTAAACAGGTTTCTTATGTAAAGTGGAATTTCAGGCTATTTTAGGTTCTCAAATATTGCTTATAACAAATTTAGAAATGTATACATGTTATAGTTTACTACACAGTTTGAGTATGTTCAATTTTACATGAAGATTTTTGAGGTTAAGTAAGAGTTAGTTACCGAGAACGGAGGCATTACGCTATATACAGCCCGAGGGCCGCAGTGAATACATCTTGACAAACTGGAGAAGCACACGCTTATGATTGTGAACGTTAGCCTGGCAGACCAGGGAAAGTATTACTGTTGTATTCATAATGCTTCAAGAGCACAAGATGACGTCGACGGCTGCCAGGTTTTTACATTGAAATTGAAAGGTAAGATTTGCAATCATTGATCAGTATGTAAGAGTTCGTTACCGAGAACGGAGACATTCCGCTATATATATATATACAGCCCGACGCCGACGTGCGAGGTAACTAACAAACTTAGTTTTCAATTCACGTGGTTTTCGCAAAAACTGAATAGACTAAATGAATGTTTTTTTAGCTCGGAGGCGAACAATAGAATCCTCTCCTCTTGAGACTTTTTCATGGACTATTGAAATTAGTTTCCTTTAAGAAAACCTGTTCATGCGAAAGCGAGCAATCGGAATTTAATATTGTAATCAAATATTCTTACACCCGATTTCAAATCAGTGCGAACTCTCGAATTTTTTTTCGGACGCTAAACTTTCACTCGACCGTCATTCACTCGACCACTTGGTAACCTGGCACAGCTTGAAGCGGGTAAAATTATCCAAGTATAAAAAGCATGGTTAATGTATGTCTGTGGGCTAAATTCCTACGGTTTGTGATCGCACTACAAAACGAACTTATTGTAAAAACTAGTTTCGGTTTAACTTAACTTTCTCAGCTCACAATTACAACGAAACAGTTGAAAAATAAATAGCGTAACAAACACTGACAAGCGCGCGCACTTTAAATCGCTTTTAGTGTTCGTAGGCTGTTCTTTGTTGATTTTACTAGTTTACTGATTAAAATGAAGAGGTTATCGGACGATATTCGGTGGAGGTTATTTACCTTGAACTTATTTACGACAAACGAAAATTCGAGCGTTATTTGTAGAGAAAACTTTTGTTTGTAAAATTCGACAACTTTATAAACGTACAGGAAATGTTGCTGTATATACACGGCGTGGAAGGCCTCGACTTCTCACATGTAAGTGTCATTGTAAACTTGTATTCAATCAATCAGGGTTTTTACAGTAATACGAATAAGAATATATTTACTTCTTCGAAAGAAGGTTACATTTAAACATAAGTTACTTCGCTTTCAACCTTTAATTTAAACAACAGTGTTGCAATTATTTTTTCGCTTGCTTGATAATTTTTTTATTGTAAACTTAAATTGTTTACATAACGAAAGAAAATAAGAAAAAATGTGTATTTTAGTTCAACATAAGAATATATTTTCAAGATGCAGAAAACAACACCCTCAAGTTCATGTGCAAAGTATTATTTGCATTCATTTGATGTTTACAAGTTAATAAAGCCAAATTTAAACTACAAATCAGATAGAAAATTATATTTTTTAATCAAGTTTAGTTGATATTCTTCTAATTGTTCTCAATTGCATTGAGTGAAGTAGAATGTTCTGTGAAACACAAGGACCACAGATATCTCGAACAAAGACCACCGCTTCTTCCTCCATAATTCTAAATGCGAAGGTCCCGCTACAGAAAGTCACGCATCACTAACAAAACACGTGTGCCTGGTTACCAAGCGGTCGAGTGAATGACGKTCGAGTGAAAGTTTAGCGTTCAAAAAAAATTCGAGAGTTCGCACTCATTTGAAATCGGGTGTAACAGTCATTCTGGAAACGATGTCGAGCAGAAAGATTTTCAAAGCGTTCCGCCTGAGCTATCTGCTTTGGAAGTTAACCTAATTTACCAAATATTTTTTGTTCTATGATGACAACGTTTTACATTCCAACTGAAAATATGGAAATTAGATTTTTTGTCCTGGTTTATTTCCCCTTTAACAAGAAGTCTAAAGTTAGAGTAGAACTGTCTTTTTAAACTTTTACCTGAGAGTCGTCATTTTCGCAGATAACTATTGATCTAGGGTTGATGTTATTGTTGCTTATTCCACAATTTTGCAGATAATCAATGGCTGAGATGATATCGATGCTCAGAGAACATAAGACACTAGACGTCAGAGCAGCTTTGTCTTGCAGGAAATCGTAGATCAGGTTGTTTACCACACATTCGTAACCAATGCTAATATGATAAAAATATGAATATAGGTTAGAAACAGACTGATTAAAACTGTTAATACAAAACTTATGCCCTTGAAAAAAAAACTTTTGTCTATTGCAAGAATAACTATAGTATTGATTCGTTGCTTTTAAAAAAACTAAAACACTCACGCGGACGAATAGTTAATCCTTTTTATGTTAGAGGAAACGCCATCGGTACATGTCTTGTGCTCATTTTCTGCAATGACATATATATAGTTACAAAACGTTTTTAACGATCCAGGAAATGCTCGTTTGGGAGGATGCATTACATATCTATACTTACGTGTACAACTCCAACTGAATTTCGCGATGTTTTTATGGTCGTCGTTTAGTTTGGATAGAATTTCAAGTTCTTTCGTCCAATTGGTTTTCGTGTCTTGGCTGAAGTACTTGATGAGATAGGATTCCATGTGGAGCGTATTATCAACAGAATTTACTTTGCCTAAGAAAAAAACCTTCAAAGAAGCAAACGAGTGATCAAAGACTACATTTTGTAATATACTAGAAGAATCGTCCAGCGTTTTGAACTGAGAGAAGTCGTCTTCCGTAAGATGTTGTATTCACTTTAAATATCTAGCAGGGAAATATCAATCAAGAATGTCGCTATAAAATGATCTATGAAATAATGGCAATTATTTGATGAAAACGTACCATTCCATCATGATGAGTTTGAACGTCAAGCTCTTCAAGGAGTTGAATGTTATACTTCAATTCCTTCTGATCTTTTCTTTCTTGATTATCTATGAATTTGATTTGTTGTATACTTTAATTTTTAGCATATATACCATATATGTTAAAATAGCTTCACCAGATTTACTGAAGTGACGTATAAATATTATTCTCATACTCATTAATTATTCAGGTATCCAGCCAATCCCTGATTGTAATTTGTACCACGTGAAGTAACTTGAAACCAGAGGAAGTACTCGTACCTTGTATTCTACCTTATTTCCAGTTACTTCTACCTTTTTCAAGTTACTTCTACATTATTTCCAGTTATTTCTACCTTATTTCCAGTTACGTCTACCATGTTTCCAACTACTATTAGCTAATGATAATCAAATTATTAGAAATAATCAGTTTAACATTAATTTAGTGAAAAAAGTCACCGTCCAGTCTATATGCGCCGTCTTATACCATTACACCACCGAGTTTCTGATGCGATTCCTCGGAAGATAGCATACTTATAAATCTTATGGATTAGGCTCATTAGGAATGTCATGAATAGCAGACAAAGACAACTTGAATAGCTTTTGTTTCAGAAAGCCGTCAGGGAATTGAAGAACAACAAACGGTGGCTTCATGGATTCAAAATTATGAAAACTGAAAACCTTAGTGGAGATGCAATAAATCAAWATATTTCTGTTATATGTATTTCCTTCGATTTTTACCTCTCCCGAATAATTAATGAGTATGAGAAGTCGTTCAAAGTCCTCCAATTCGGACTGGACTGGATTTCAAGTCCTTGCAATTAGTTCCAGTCTAACTAAAGTGGAACTAATTGCGCGGAAATGAAATCCCGTCCAGTCCTCATTGTCGGACTTTAAACATTACATCCACTTTTATAGTGTATTGACTTAGAATACTAAGACGCACCTGTAGGTTTGTAATTGGTCTTTTTTGAGCTTCTTAGAGTGAAGAAGGTGTAAAGGAAAGGATTGATGGACGAGTTGATTGGCAAAACAAATACTGCAATCCATACGTACATTTGTTTAGATGGGTCGCTGTAGATGCCGGTGATAGAAAGGAAACTGATGATAATAACAGGCATCCAGCAAAGAAAGTCAGTAAGGATGACGAATACAACTCTCTTTGCAAGCGATGATTCTCTGTTGACAGCAGTTGATCGAACTGCATTTGCTGACTTCTGTACTGTCTTTATGATTGCGATATAAGCAATAAGCATAAATGTGAAGGCAACGAATGGAAATGCAAGGAAGAGCGCCACTGAGTATTCCCATCCCGCTTGAAGGTCTGATGATAGCTGTACAGGCAAACATACCGAAGATCTTCCGTAAAAACCGAAATCGTCTTCATCGTTTAGGAAATAATTCAAGCCAAAGATCGGGATGATTGAAGTCACCAGACCAACAATCCACACACAGCCACAGATACACAAAGCTTTTCCCCAACTGAGCTTTTTGACGGTGAATGGGAAAACAACGCAGATAAGTCGGTCATACGTAACAATCGCCAGAAAAGCTACAGACACCACGCTTGAAAGCATCGATATCATTCCCGTTATGCGACACCCAACTCCTGATCGCCATTCTACATCATATTTGAAGTACTCTCCTTTCCATTTGATGTCGAGAGATGCGATGGTAATCAGGTAAACTCCCATTAAGAAATCTGAAATTGCAAGGTTTGTCAGCAACAGAGAGTTAGTGTTCCGTTCTAATTCTTTATCAGACACCCTTTTTCCAATTACTAGTAAGTTGCCAACCAGTGCGCTCAAGCCAAGGATCCACAAAAAGATTCTGAGAACGGTGCTTTTCATTAGGTCCTCGCAGCTAGAGAATTCGTTGGATTGCAGGGATTCACATTTTTCGAGACCAATAATGGCTTTTTCAGCGTAACAGCAGTGAATGAATTTGTCTAATTTTCTGAAAAATGTAAAATGCATTAGTGAATTTTAATTTTGAACGGACTAAAACATCCAAATTAAAATCTCCCGTGTAAACCAAGCCGCGCAAACGCCTCCTCTTCAGTGAATATTGTCGTGATAGATTGTTTGGTATACGTCGAATAGAAACCGGAGTGAACAGTTTTAGCTATGTCTATAATAGTTCGGGAAGTACTGCCTTGACAAAAAGGACTTTAATTTCTAATCAATATAAAACATGTCTCTACGTACGTTAGGTACGGTACTGTACCTAAGTGCCAATCGGTGAAAAGTGAGTGGCGAAAACAATGCATTTTTAGGATTTACGGACTACATTCTTACATTGTCTTTAAGTTCTTAAGCCCTTCAAACACGTTTTGCTGAATACCCGTCAACTTGTTTCCTTGGAGGTTTCTAAAAGAAACAAGAATACCATTTTAATCAATCATCATCGTAAAACGTCAAATGCCGTACTTACAGGTTTTTCAATGAACGAAGCCCTTGGAAAGTCATTCCTGTTAATTTCCTTAGTTTATTGTGCGAAAGGTCACTGAAATTAAACAAAGCCAGCGACTTTTCAACATTGTATTGACTGAGACTGAGACTGATTCCTTTTACGGTTTCTTTTGAGAAAGAACACTGAAAAAGTGACACTTATTCGATTTCCATAGGCTTATGAGCTCTTCACATTTTAGAGGCATATGATAAAGGTATTATATAAATAGGGTATGGCATTATAATAAACGTCTACTTACAGAGAAACAAGCTCAGAAAGACTCTGAAATACTTTGTCTGGCAAAGAGGAAATAATGTTGTTTTGAAGATACCTGCAATGAGTTTCAAATAGCTTTTTGTGTCTCATGATGACATGATCAATTTATAGCAAGAAAGTCCTTCTTTTCGCTGAACTGAAAATATGGGTATACTGTACAGCATGCACAAATATAATAAAAATTCAATTTTTGCATGTTTTGCAATGCAATGCGTGCAAATGGAATACGTGCGCAAAGTCAAATGATTTTTACTTACAGATACTTCAGGCTTGGAGTGGAATCAAACACATTTTTTGGGATAATCCTAACTTTATTTACGCGAAGTCCCCTGGAATTAATATCATAAAATGAGTGAATTCCATGAGGAAACCATCTCATGTGATGGACGCTGGAAACTGATATTTTATTTTTTATTTAAATCATTTGACACACAGAGTCATCGAGGTCTTCAGAGTTACATTGATTTGTCCCAGCATAAAATATGCTAAGGTGCATTATGTCATTTATATGGCTACTTACAAAATCTTTAGCTGTGAAAGTCCTGAAAGAGTCATATTATCCAGTTTTTCGAGCAAGTTTCTTCCCAAATCACTACAAACAGAAATTATAGCTTTGTTGTTCAATAACATCTTTTAATTAACATACAATTTTGTATGATGAGTGCATACTAGTCTCTTTGCAACCGCATGTTTTAATCATAAAAGAGCTATAGTATTACTGCTATTAAAACAATTGATTACTTACAGTGTTCTGAGATTTGAAAGTGGATGGAAAACTGCTTTCGAGATATTCCTCAAGAAATTGCCGTTTAGCCGCCTTAAAAAGAATTTAATGACGTTTAGAGTGCAAGCAATATATCCGTGCAACACTAAATTAAAATAGTGAAATTTAGTAAAATTTAGTGAAAAATAGTCGAAGCGTAAATGTACTAAATTTAGTGTGCACGTGCAATTTAGTTGAGAAGTGCACGTGCGTTTATGCACAAGTCGTCCTCGGAGCTCAACTCAATTTCAACTAGCCAGCTACACTTATAACCATTACAAATGCTGCTGGAATTWGAACCAAAGTCTCATGCTAAAAAGGTACGTATCTCACAAACTTTTCCGTAGAAGCGATAAACTCCTCTTGCGGTTTATTTTGAGCACATACCAAGCAAAGATATTAMWAGGGCGCTGTTGGTTCTTGTCAAGTACATGTACGTCAAATAACGCTGAGCTTTGAGCGAGAGAATTCCTTCGAAARCACATTGTTTACAGGTATTTTCGAGTCTTTACATTAAAAGTGCGTCTTGTCTTGATTTTTAGCATAGACTTTTATAATAAACTCGTTAGAAAACACGTTCATTTGTGTACTGGGTCTTGGTATTGGTCATTTTAACCTAACAATGTCTTCTGTCTTGATTTTGCTGCGACGCTGAGAATAAAGACTCTTAAACGCGTTTTCTTGCGTATTGTTGTGGTCAATTTAGCTTTAGACGTGTCTTGTGTTGATTTGCAGCAGCGCAAATAAATAAAGATTCTTAAACGCGTTTTCTTGCGTATTGTGTGGTTATTTTAGCTTTAGACGTGTCTTGTGTCTTGATTTTGCAGCGCGCAAATAAATAAAGATTCTTAAACGCGTTTCCTTGCGAATTGTGTGTTTATTTTAGCTTTAGATGTGTCTTGTGTCTTGATTTTGCAGCAACGCAAATAAATAAAGATTCTTAAACGCGTTTTCTTGTGTATTGTAGTTTTTTTAGATTGAATTGTGTCTTTTGTCGTTTTTGCGGCATCGGCACAAAGGAATAAAGGCTCTGAAAYCATTTTACTTGCGTTTGTTTGTTGTTTTAGATTTGTTTTTAGATTTTATGTTCTGATTTTGTAGCAACGCTATTCTTGAAAAAAGCACGACCCAAGCACTCTACAACACGCTTCTACGGTCCAGTAACCACACTAAATTAATCATAGTCTGCAATAATTTAGTTAAATTTAGCACAATTTAGTAAAATTTAGTTTTAGTTAGTGTTTCACGGATATATTGTTTGCACTCTAGTGAAGCTTCATGTAAATATCGTATCTGCAAGATGGCCGATTTGCGATTCGCGAAGTGAAGAGGTCAGGGGACCCAAAAACAAAAACAAAACAAAAAACTCCGGTCTTCGAGAGGCCTTAAAAAGGATATATACAAGTAAAAATAATAAATCCTACTTACAAAACATCTATTGATGATCCATTCATAGTTATGAATGCCTTTGGGTCGATATGGAAAATGCGGTTGTTTGAAATGTCTCTAAAAATATACTAGCATTAGAAAAAGGCTTTATATAACATTTCTTTTGATTTCCTACATCATGGCCAGAAATTCCGGACATTTGAGCCCGGGACGAGTCAGCGTGTTTTCCCACCAAAAAAGAGCTTTCTACAAGTTCCCTTTCTACAAGTTCCCTTTGAACTTTTGAAGATAAAATTTTCTACTCTTGTGCAACGATCCTTTATCTTAATACAATACTGGGCTAAAATCGAAACGTTCAAAACACGACAAACGAGTATTGGGATAGCACGCCCTGATCCTTGAGTTCATTAGTGGCTTGTTAGGTGCTCGTTTGGAATGTTCATAGTGTAAATAATATTATTTGCTGGAACACACGTTTCCCTCAGGTATTTTAAACAATGATCAGTTGATATTGTGATCTTTTGTTTATACTTTTGTACATTTCTAAGGAATTTAAAAGGTCTGACATTGTTTACACAAGACTTGATTGGCCTATCTTTCGTTCGTATTTTCCGCTATCTGCGCTATTTACCAATGCGCGCAAGGCGCCAGTAAAAACCTAAAGCAGTTCCAGTCTGAAAGCCATGTTTCTAAGGTTTATTTTGGTACCAAAAATTGATAATAAAATGGAAGATCAGGCCAGGTATTCGCGTGAAACACGCGTCTTCGCCAGCCATTCCAGCGTCAAGTTAGTGTTTTCAAATTGTACGATTTCTAGTACCAAAAAGGACTCTGTTGATCGTCTTCAAAATAGCTGARAATCGCTGTGTTCCTACCTCAATATGTGGACTTTGAGAAATGATCTATGGAATATCAGTGACATTTGAACTTCGCAAATTTTCACTATGAGATACAAGGCCAAAGGGAGACGACGAAAGGAAAATAAATTGTCAAAAAGGACGCTGTTAACAATATTGGATTCATTTGGATTTCCTACAGTGGAATCAAGAATAGTTTGAATTCCCTCTACGAATTCATCTATGGAATCTTTCCAGTTAAAACAGATGAAATGTTATTCTCAAATATTTTTTTTGATCCATACATTTCTTTGTAAAATTTACAAACATGTTTTTATGCATTTATGCGAAGTACCGCTGCGATTGCGGGCTCAAATGTCCGGATTTTCTGGCCATGTAAATTGATTCCCCAAGCAGAAGTAATCCGAAATATTTCAGGCCGAACTAATGAAGAAATCTGTAAATGAGAAACTCAAGGGCGGATCCAGGGAGGGGCAAATGGGGGGTTGTAGCCTCTCCTTTTAGCATAAAAGTTAAACTGTAGTTTTTTATTATTATTTTCAATGTGGTTTATAACAAATAAAGCCTACTTAGACCCCCTTAAAACCATTTATCCCCTCCCCCCTCCCCCCTCCCCCTTAAAAATTCGGCTTGATCCGCCCTTGACTCTGAGGGTTTTTATCCAGTACTCTCATGCATGGATCTATGCAATTGATTTTATAATGTGTACATGACAGCTATATACATTCATGATAATACAATATACATACACATATTGAAGATTGGGCATCTCTTCAAATGCACCTTTGGAGATGCTGCTAATTTCATTTGCTTGAAGCATTCTGTGTATAGATGATCAAACGAAACTAAAATACTTATCAGTACTTTTGCTTGATCAAAGGTATGTTACTAAAATATTAACAATTAACAACTCACTAACTCAAAACTTACAAAACAGCAGTATCAGAAGACAGCTTGCTTGGAATTGTATTCAATGATTGGCACTTCACCGTTATTCGTGTGGCACCTCCAGAAGTATAATAAGGATTACATTCACAGCTCTGTGGGCAACCTTGACGAAAGGAAAAAGATGTCCATGGTTACTATAGCCAGATATGTTAGAATTGCAGTAGCAGATTGTTTGATATTCATCATAACATTCCAACCAATAGCAAGACAAAGATAAGCAATAACTTTCAAGAGAGGGAGCAGTTGTTCAGCCAAATAATTAAAAAGACTCCAGTCAAGAAAAATTCAGCATACACTAACTTTGATAGGTGGGAGTCAATTTAACTGCTAATACTAATAAAGAGTTCGAGTTTTTATTCATGGAGCCTTAGCTTCAAAAAGCATGTAAAATATTTCTTAGCATATCAAAAGCTAAAAAGCTAAAAGCTAAAAGCTAAAAGCTAAAAACACTGTCTGTGTAAACAAGCCGCCTTTTATGCATGGTCTGCATGATCGGATTAGCAATACAAGGAGAGATTATATTAGAGCCAAGTGTAAAATACCTTTTGATCGTAAATAATGGGCACAAGCCTTTTGGTTATCACTAACTGTATAAAAAACGAAACAAAGAATTAAGATTTTTAACTATTACTATAATGTTAATATAGAATGTTGGGCGCTGAATACAGTGATATACAATTCAAATTTAACAAACTGAGCACGGTTTTGCAGGGAGACTGTAAACAGATTGAGCATTTGTTATTTCAGGTGCATGCTAACTGGGTGATTGATTTGCGACCAGGCCTGCATATGAATTCGCCAAGGTTGTAAGCCAGTGAGCCCGTGCATTTTTGTTAAGCGGTCATATTTGAAAGTGTAAATAAAGGAAAGGGAAAACCCGCAGCTCTCCTTTCACTCAGATAAACAGTACAAGTCGTGTTAAATCTATTTACATAACTAAACAAAATGATTATAGAATTTAACCTTTAAGAATTGAATGCTCATATCAAACATTTTCCACCTTAAATACACACGTGTTTTTCAGATGGGAATTTAGTCGAACTTTTTCCACGATGGAATTTTGTTTTGATTCGTTTCGACATAAACAGTCGCTATCAAGACATTACACGAAAAACCGCAGTCACCGTTCTAGCTCTCGTTGTAAGGTCAAAGCTAGTAAATGTGTAACCGACCTGTTACATTCGTTGTGTCATCGAGCATGCTTGCGGGCCATTGCCAAAAATGCGACAAAGGATGAACTACGACAGTTGTTTGTATGAAACATAACAAACGCTTTAACTCTATTGGAATACATGGAGCTAAGCTGCTCTAGCTCTTTCAGTGATGTTGTAGATACCTCAAAGCTTTGAGGAAACAAGAGCTAAGAAAAAGGATTTGCAATGGTTCCTCCATAAGATACTTTGGACTTGAACGTCGCTTCAACGACCTTCTGAAGTCTTCGTGAAGTCGGCCATTG